AGGCTGTTGGTCGCTGCTGATGTGTGAATCACAGGTATGCTTGGAGGTGTTTATCGAGTTATATCTTGAACAAAGTGAAAGGCTGGTCAGTTATGCCCCTTACGTGCATAGAGGGTGATGATAAGTCTTGGGCCTTTGATATTGATAGTTCTCTCTCTTTGAGTACCTATGACACCTCTGCTTTTGAATGGGGCTATTTTGCACATCCTGCCATGCCTTCTGGTCTCATGTGATGTTATTTCCATGTGCACATTTGGAACCAGTCCTTCTAATATTTTCAAAGTGTAAATTATTACAAATATTATTCTCTCTTGCCTGCGCTCTAGAGAATATTGATTTAAAAATATTAATTGGGCCCGATAATTTAAATGTTTTATTGAATGAATTCTGGCATTAAAGATCTTTGCATGCTCTCCGGGTCAACAATTTTTCTAGCTTTGAATGGTTCTGTTATTGTACAATAATGTTTGGTGCTATTTTTTTCTCCCAAAGCCTTCTCATGAGTTGGGAGCTGTAGTAAGTACCTGGAGCATACCTGGAGAGGGGTTCTGGGAGTTGTTCTACTCTCCGAGTTCGGTCTGAGGCCAGCCTCGACTTGTGATAATTTGGCACAACAAGCTGTTGCTTGGAGCGGCCTGCAGGCCCACATATCCACTACAGGATATGTAGTACAACTTGTACTGAAGTACAAATACTTTGGTACAGTACTTTCTTGTTTTGCATCCTCCCCATTTCCTCCTCATCCCTCCTGTTGGGCTCCATGGTGGATGGAGGCATGAGACAGGTGACCAGGCCCCCCCATGTCATATTATGAAGGTTCCAGTCCTGTTTTGCACTTCGCAGAGATTAGCAATACAGTAGTCTCTTGGCTACCACTGCTATGCACCATGACCTTTGCTTTGACTTATAGGCCTCTGATGGACGCAAACCATTTGGACCCTGACTTCATCCCTTGGGGCATATTCCTACACCCCACTCTGATCATCCGGCAGAAACACACTATCCATCTCCTGTGGTAATGTCCTTGCCTGAGTCAAAATATAACAGTTGCTTCGGTCATGAAACCTAACTTTTGTTTGATTATTCTAAATATTAGACTTTACTCCTCTTGTCATCAATGAGAATTCAGTTCCAAGTTTTGTCCACGATTATTCACTCTATACAGTACATATGTAAAATTCAATTAATTTTGTGCTACAAACATGGATCAGATATATACTGTGCAGTATTTTAATTTAGACACTGGTTCATTTCCAGGCAACTATAATACATAGGATCCTGCAATGCAGTGGTCAGCGCAGTTGGGTTACAGCCGAAAGGTCCTGGATTCAATTGCTGCTGCAGGACAGAAGTGTTTCCTTTCACCTGATGCCTCTGTTCACCTAGCAGTAAATAGGTACCCGGGAGTTAGACAATTGTTGGGGTTGCATCCTGGGGAATGTTTTGGAGGGTTGGGGGGGGGAGAAGCTTTTTGTATGGTAGAGAACTAGTATTTATCACCTCCATGATCAATAGGTTACTGCTTGGGGAATATTGAGCATTTTCATGGAAAAGGAAGTTTAGGCTCTTGAGGGGAAGGGGAAAAGTGATGCATTTTAGACGCCTCCCAATCTCTACTTTTTCACTCGATAATTTGCCTACTGTATCTAAACCTTTATTACTAAGTAATGGTATATGCACAGTTATGTAAAGTAGATTTGTACTCAACGATGATGCAGAGTACAGTATTTGAAAGGTCGCGTGATGCAAGAATATAACCAAAATCATTAAAAAATTTGCATAAACCTGTGCGAGTAAAACTAGCATAAACCATACTTGTGCTGGGTAAATCCAGAACTCGGATTTGGTGAATTTCTTTAGATGCTTAACTCATTTGTAGTGAAATTTGTGCATATTATTCTTTCACATAGCAAGGACTGACTACTGTAATTTACACCGTAAAATACAAAACTGTTTCGTTATGGCTATAAATAATTTTCCCAGGTATATATTCCGATACAAAAAGCACAAGAGTGGTTTTGTTGCTCATCCACAAGTTTCCGCTCATGTATGAACTCTGAGAAATTAAACTTACAAGAAAATAACCCGATTAAGCAAACATGTGGACAATTCAGTCTCGGGTATAAAGGTGAGAGACCCATCCAAGAGTATATTAATACAGTATAAATGGGGGAAAGTAGGTAAAATTCAATAGAGAATAAACTACCACCTCGCCATGGGTGGGCATCCTCATGCTAGGCCAGCAGAAGACATAAGAAAGCTTTAGTAATTGTACAAATAGAGCTCTGGACTTTAACCATATACACATATTGGAAAGTGTTCCAGCAACTCAGTGTTAAATATACAGTACCTTATGGGGAGGGGGGGTCTCCATTGAGCCTATCTTGGTGCATTGTCAAGGGTCAACAGTATTGTATACAAAATAAGACTATCAGTACAGTGATACATTTGTACTGTATATTAAATGAAGTGATGCATGTTGAACCCCCTGATGAGAGAGAAAAAAAAGGTATAATTTATGAAGTATATTACCTGGTGGCAATTTAATCAGTTCTTCTGTTGATGCCTCCCATGCCTGTGGCCAGCCTTGCCTTGTTATTGCCTGCTCTGTGAGGCTTTTGTCTTCATAGCTTACATAGCCATTAGAGCCAGGATGCTTCAGTAACTTCAGCAGAACTTGTCCAGTTCTCTCCTGAAAGCTTCCACTGTTGGTAACTTTTTTTTCTTTATATCTGATGGAAGGAGATTGAAAAGTTCTGGGCTTATACAATGGTACCTCAGCTTACGAATTTCATCCGTTCCCAGAGACGGTTCGTAAACCGAGGCGATTTTTCTCATAAGAAATAATGTAAATTTAATTAATCCGTTCCACACTCCCAATAATATTAACTTCAAAGTAAATTTTATACCTAATGCACCCAAATCTTTAGTACTAAATACTGTATGTGCAAGTTATAGCTTACCTTTATTGATGACTTGTTAGCGTATGGAAGACGATGAGGAGGGTGGTGTTAGTGTTTGCAAGGGGAGTCCCCTTCCATTATAACATCGGGCAGTGATGACTTCTCTGGGGTACACTCTCCTATGTTTTGCAGGAGTACCACTAGGACTTGGTTGTGGCTCACTGCTTGCTTGTCTTAATAAGAAACTGTCTAAAGACACTTGTTTTTCCCTACATTTTAGCACTTGTCTGTAGTAAGACATCACATTGTCATTTAAAAAGTCAATGCAATGGCTGGCTGCAGCTTTATCAGGGGTGAGTTTTTCAACTTTGCAATTCTTCCCGTACTTCACACATTTTCGTAATGAGGAAGGGACAACCTCTACTGCCTCTACTCTCAACTATTATCTTACACGAACAAATCCATAAGGGCCGTGACAAGGGCTCGAAGCTACGTCTTATCCCTGTTAACTATTTTCTTAGGTTGAACCTTACCATTGACTTTCTTGGGACTCATGGCAAGATATATACAGTAATAATTACTTTTATGTTCAAATACCCAAAAATAAAAAAACACTGAAATTCTTTACAAAAGAATTCAGGCACGATTGTCACTAGGCGGGAGGCATTGGTAAACTGAAGTGCGGTCGCCGTGCCACCATGCGCTAGGTCGGCCATACGCGTATCAACAAACTAAGTTACCCGAGGCAAAGTTCGTAACCCAATTCGGATTTTATGAAGAAATTGGGCTCGTAACCCGAAAAGTTCGTAAAGAGGGGCATTCGTAATCCAAGGTGTCACACTACTACAGTATGTTCTGTGTTCTGATCTGCATCTGCTTATATATAGATTATTGTGTATTCTCAAATTGTGCTTGTAGCTCCCTGACTTTTCATAAAAATTTATTTTGTATTTCTTACCATCTCTCTCATTCCATTATGTTATATTATTTTGCAGGTTTGGAACCTGACTTTCCAGCATGTTTCTTGTTTTTCATATGAACTCTTTCTCATCTTCGTCCCAAGAAGTAGTTCGAGTGCTTTGACTCAGTCCCAATAGTTTAAATGCTTCTCTGAATATGTGTGTGTGTGTATTCACCTAGTTGTGTTTGCGGGGGTTGAGCTTTGCTCTTTCGGCCCGCCTCTCGACTGTCAATCAACTGTTTACTAACTACTTTTTTTTTTCACACCACACACACACACACCCACCCCAGGAAGCAGCCCGTGACAGCTGACTAACTCCCAAGTACCTATTTACTGCTAGGTAACAGGGGCATTCAGGGTGAAAGAAACTTTGCCCATTTGTTTCTGCCTCGTGCGGGAATCAAACCCGCTCCACAGAATTACGAGTCCTGCGCGCTATCCACCAGGCTACGAGGCCCCGTGTGTGTGTGTGTGTGTGTGTGTGTGTGTGTGTGTGTGTGTGTGTGTGTGTGTGTGTGTGTGTGTGTGTGTGTGTGTGTGTGTGTGTTGTAAAGGATCCCTGCACATTTTCGAGCTCTGTAGTCTCGCACTTCCTTGAAAGGCTCCAGACAACTGTAATACCTACACTCACGTTTCCGTGAATACTATACTTTATTCTAATAATCCTTCAGTATAGAATTTCCTGTATGATTATACATCATTTCCTGAATGGATATGCAGCATTTCCAGACTGGATGTGCAGCACTTCCTGAATGAATGCGGAGCACTTCCTGATTGGATGTGAAGTGCTTCCTGAATGTATGTGCAGAGCTTCCTGAATGGATGTGCAGTGCTTCCTGAATGGATATGGAGCTGGTGTCTGCCAGTGCAGGAACTTGGGATTTTAACCATATATCGGCCTTTTTTCTGAATTGCGTTTCAGGGAATATGAATATGCTATAGACTATGTTCTAATTTGAAAGTGCCCTTCTCTTTTATTAATGAAATTTGGTGAAATTTGCACGTTTATGATCATATTCTGATGCAGTTTAACCTAGGCATAAAGATCAGTTAGAACAAAAATAGCTTGTGAAGATTTTTCTGTATTATTTTTCTATAATTTTGCTTATTCAAATAAATGATTTTTGTTTTTCCAGGTTGAGTCATACAAGGGCACAGTGAAGGAGAAAGTGAGTACATTTCTGTTGACTTTATCAGCTGTTTATGTATCCTTATGCTAGATTGCCAACCTGTTCTCCCACAAAGAACGTCACTTTTTGCTTGTATGTGCTAAACAAGGCCAAAAATTGGTATACTGGAAAAGGAAGTGGCTCGCAAAAGTGACGTACTTTCGTGTTTTCTGTTTGGGTCCTCTGGTAGGTTAGAAGAGAATACTTTAAATTGACCGTTTTCCTGTAGTTGGGAAACCTTAGGAGGACTAAGGTTATTATATGGTCCAGGTCTAATGTTTATTGTTTTCATTGTATTGAATGATGATAATACCTGCATCTTAGAATACTACATGCTGAGGGGAATTGTTTGTTCAGTCAATCTGGAGGACAGTTGAATTCGGCTTGTTATTCCCTTTCCTGTGAGGAGCCCTGTTGGCTCCCTGAAGCTATCCAAACTGATATGTGCTATATTAGTTGGGGTCATCAGTCACAAGAGTTCTTAAGCCTACCGGGGACCACAAGCTAGAACCTGGCCCCCTCAGAGACGCAGGGAGCAATGGCCTATGAGCACTTTACATTTAAAGTATGTCATAATTGCCATCGACCAGGAAAGGACCCAGAAAGGTAGGTGAATAAAAACAGACCACTGGTTAACCTGTGCAATCTACATCCTAAAAGATCAAAATAACTCCCATAGAAAGAGACCAAACAAGCAATCTTTTATGCGACTAGCACTTCCCTGCTCTGCTCCTCTCCGTGCGAGAGGGGGTGCCGGTAGCCCACCATTCCAGTTCTTGAACCGACGTGCTGGTGGTCAGTTCAGGCACTGGTGGCCCTCAAGTTCTTGTTCTGGATTTTTGCCCTGTGTGGCTGTTCCAGCTGTGTGTGGTGTGGTGGCCGGGTGTCGTAGTGTACAGGAGCAGCATGCGCTGAGGGTGACCTTCCCTTAGTTCTCTGAGAGTACTGCCCTTGCATGTCAGGGTTGTCTTCCCTGGGGCATTTGAGAATCACTCCCCATTTGAGGACTTCATCGCTTGTTGTTGTCTTCGCCCTTGGGGTATGTTGGGGGTCTAGGGCTTTCCATCATGCCCCACATAGGGGAGTGTTATGGCTGGGTGGGGTGCACTGTGGCTGGCGCAACTACCCCTACTTCTACGTAGCGGCCGATGTTTCTCTCTGACTGGCAGTTTGTTGTGTGTCTTCGGATTTTTTTTCTCATTCTCTGGCATTTTTGCCTTGTTTAGACAGAGGAGGTCTGCTTAACTTCTTATTAGGCAAACCTAGGTTGTGTTGGTAGTCCTTCTCTGTTGTGCCCGAGGTTTCATAGCTGCTCTTGTGGTCAATTTGCCTGCTACCTGACAGGGATCTACCGGCTTGGTATCGGTGCCTGGGCTTCCTGTAGGGGTAATACCCTACGGGCCCTGGGAAACCCTTGTGGGCTCGATCATTCAATGGCTACTTCTTCCGAGCCTGCTCTCACCTTGTGCAAAGTTGAAAGTTGTTCGTTGTCTCTGCTTCAGGGAAACGATCATCTGTACTGCCTCCTTTACACTGCCTATTGGGTCTGGAAATCCACCGACCCGGAGTCTTGCGGGCCTTGTTCCCCACTTGCACAGTAATTCACCTTCCTCATTTCTTGTCTGTTGATCTCAGGAATCGAGCAGCAGCTGCATTGTATGCTTGATTCTCCTTACTACAATGAGCCTGGTTGGAGGCTCTGGAGCTGCCCTGCTTAGGTTGTTGGGCTCAGGATTTGGAGGCATTGGTCGCTTTGACCCTGCTTCCTTTCCAGGTGGGCGTGATTCACCATGCTCCTTTCTCCCATACTTCGGGCTCCCGGCCGTCTGAGGGTTTCAGGGTTGGGGCGGTGTTTAGCTCAGGATGAGGCTCGGGTGGCTTTGGGAGCTGCCCTTTCCGATTCGGGCACGAAGGTGGTTGAGCCCAATTTTCCTGCCGAGGCTTCTGGGTCAGCTCAGCAGACACCTTCTTGGAAGCTTTTCCCCATGGACACTGCCTTTTCTTCAGGGGTGGGTTTGAAAGAGGGCTCTACCCTAAGGCCTTTGTCGGGGATTCCTGGGCTCGGGGGTGGGGGAGTTCTCTTGGAGCGCTTGGGCTCCTTTTGCCCTTGCTTGAGCCCTTGTGCCTTCTGGGCAAGGGTTGTTGCTGTAGGGGAGGGCATTTTCGTTTCCTCCTTCCCTGTCTGAATTAATATTACCATATTTGCCAGCATAATTTATGCACCCTTAGTTAATGTGCTCTTGTTCTTACTGGTGACTCAGTTGTTCACTTTTGGGTGACATGTCTCAGGTGTGGGTTATGTCTGATATGAAAGAGGTTGGGAGGTACGTGAATTGATGTGTTTCCCTCATCACTGCCAAAGTGTTATCAGTAGTTTTGGTAAGTTTGTACTCTCCTCGTTGTACTCTTATAGTTGTGTTTATGGGGGTTGCGCTTTGGTTCTTTGGTCCTGTCTTTCACTTGTCATTCTATTGGTGTTCACATTCCTGAGCTTCTTGAGCACTTGTTTTTCTACATTTGCAGCCTTCTCATCACTGCCTCCAGCATTCACTTCCCTTACTACTCTGCCTCTGGACAAGTTCTCTTTAGTGTGTCAGTGGCTCCTTTGGGTACTCGGTTACCTACCACCTGTATCCCATTATGGGTATACCAATCTTATTAATTCATCGATCTTTTTGTATGCTGTCTGTTCCCCTGAGGAATTATGGGTGGTGGTCATGTCTTCCAGTCTTGTGTTCCTGGGGCTGTCTTGTCTTGTGTACAAGACCAGGGTGCTTCTGTATATTATTACCTCAGTCTTGTGTTCACAGACTGTGATCCTTGGCTTGTTTTCATTATATTATTACAGGAACTGATTTTGTGCTTAGCGACCTTGCCCTGTATGCTCGTCCGGCTCCCAAGCCTACAGCCCTCGGTATCATGTCCATATTACGGTTGTTTTACACGTTCAGCTCATTTCTAGCCCCTAAAAAAAAAATCATTAACATTGGGCATTTAATCCGCCGGTAGGTAGGATAAATGCGGTAGGTAGGGCTCCCCCAGGTTCGTTTCCGGGTGCCCTAGGGTTCCTCAGATTCGTCTTTTTGGAGGTTTCTTCCTCTCAGCTTCCCCTTGAGGAGGTTTGGGAGGCCCTTGGCACGTAACTCCCGCATGACCCAGGTTACATCTCTGTATTCCGGTTTTGTTTGAGTTCGGTTTCTCTTTCACTGATTGGGTGCAGTTCGAGGTTCCAGTATTTTCCTGGCTGGCAGCCTGCCCCAACGATTGATTGGTGTAGGTTCCCTGCTGGTATGCTTGTTTTCTTGCCAAGATTCAGGTTCTTTCCCAGCTTGTCGGATTCGGGTCCTGGTACAGTAACTTGACGGAAGTCCCCAATTGGTTTCATCCTGGGTTTGGACTTGGCTGGGCCTAGTGTGGGGCTCTCAAACTGCGTTCATTTCTCTCCCTCCTGCGGCTTTGCTCCGGTTGCGGTCCCACCTTCAGCTGTGTTTGATGGGGACCCGGGTCCCTTGGCGATTGCTCAAGCAGCTGTGTGGGAGCCTGAACTTTGCCTGCTGATTTATCTGCTTGGCTGGGTTTGGCTTTGGAGGCTGTTTAGATATCTTCGTAGTGGCCTCTTGCGTTCGGTGTAGATGTTACTTCTGCAAGCTTTCGTGTGCATTTTTCTCCTCCAGCCTGCTCATGCACCTTCTTGAGCCTTCTTGGTCTTTGGATCGTGTTCTTTCTTTGTTCTCCTCGCTTTGTTGTGACCCCTCCAAAGGATACTTGATCAATCAGGCTATGACTCGTAGGTCAGGCTGCGAGCAGCCGTGTCCAACAGCCTGGTTGATCAGTCCAGCAATAAGAAGGTCTGGTTGATGACCGGGATGCGGGGTCACTAAGCCTCAAAATCATCTCAAGGTAATCCCTCTGGTTTGGGATTGCTTTTGGAAAGCCTTATTTTTGTTGGCCTTGGCCTCTGGGGGTTGTGTGGGGAGCTCTCTCTGCTCTCCTCCAACACTGGAGGTTCTGTTAGGTGCAGGTTGTTGTTTTGTTCGTTTGCAGCCTTCTTCTTTTCTGGTGAAGAATGAAATGACGGGCATCCTGCGGTCCACTGGTTCTATGATGGTGGATCGGGTGGTTCTGGTTTTCCTTGTAATTATTCCAGGGCTCTTGTGTGTCAGGTTGTCCACAGTGTCGTCAAGTTCAGCCAGCCTGCAGTCTTCCCTTATGCCCATGCCATTCGGAAGTACTGTGTGCTGCTCTCGCAGCAGGTTTTGACAACAAGTCTTGGATAGACATTTGGGGCGTGGGGGTTTTGGAGGTCGAACAGGGTCCTGGTTGCCAGGGATCTAGTGAACGTTCCAGCTCCTCCCCTCCTGCCCCTTGCCATAAGGGGCATAACTGGCAAACCCCTCACAGTGTTCAAGAGAGAACTGGATAAGCACCTCCAAAGGATACCTGATCAACCAGGCTGTGACTCATACGTCAGGCTGCGAGCAGCCGCGTCTAACAGCCTGGTTGATCAGTCCAGCAACCAGGAGGCCTGGTCGACGACCGGGCCGCGGGGACACTAAGCCCCGGAAGCACCTCAAGGTAGCCTCAAGGTAGGTAAGGTAGCCGCGTGTGGTCTTGGGGCGCCTGTCGTGGCTGTCTGTCTCTTCTTTGTCTGGAGACCTGCGGTGCTGCTGCCTTCTGGGTACGTCATTCCTTTTACTTTGGGCAGTTAGCTTCAGGGAACTGACAGGTCTCCCCACAGAAAACCAGTATTAAATGTAATGAAATGCCATTTTCTGGGCGAGTCCCGGAGGCTTCCCGACACCCTCCCTCTGGTCGGTGGTTTTTCATCAAGAACTGGAGTGGTGGGCTGCCAGCTCCCCCTCTAGGTAAGTTATTTTGATCTTTTGTGATGTAGATAGCACAGATTAACTAGACAGTGGTCTGTTTTGATTTGCCTACCTTTCTGGGCAATACATACTTTAAATGTAAAGTGCTCATAGGCCATTGCTTCCTGTGCCTCTCTGAGGGGACCAGGTTCTTGTGCATAATTCCTGGTAGGTATAAGAACTCCTGTGACTGATGACCCCAAACTAATATTGCACATATCAGTTCTGATAGCTTCAGGAATCCTCTAGGGCTCACCCAGAAAATGGCATTTAATTACATTCAATGCTGTTTTTTTAGCCAATGGATAGAGGACAGTGTTTCCATCCTGTGGAGATGAACTCTGTGGTCTTATTAGGCTACAAGGCCCTACACCTGCCAATTTAATTATTAGTTGACCCAATATTTGTATACATAACCCAAAGAATTTATTAAAACTCATTAATACGCACAGAAATCACAATAGCGTGATATAACGAATGAACAAATCCCAGACCAAGGCGCATCTGGGATCATCCCGGTCATTGGTTCGAACCCTCATCACAGCTCTTGTGGATTTGTTCACTTGATTAACTTTGCATTGCCAGCAAACACGAGCATGTACAAGCTCGCTCCCACTGTGGCTTGTGTGCTTGTTGGTGCTTATTTTTTCCTGATGCTGCATACTGTACTATAGTAACAATGATATAAAGGACAAGTGATGTTTAAACTTTTAAACATATACTGTATGTACCGTGTATTGCTTTCACCATACAGTGCAGTGTTTACCTCTTTTCTCAGGGCTGTTGTCTCTCCATCCCTTGTGAGTGGGGAACTGGTAATAATATATGCATGAATGAATGTGCTTTGACATACCAAATACTCGTATGGAGAAGTTAAGGGGTAAAGGCTGAAGTTTAAATTATTTGTACATGTATTTAGAATAAATTTATATTGTCTGTGATTTATGTTTCAGAGAACTTATTATAGATCAAAGTTGGGTACTCAATTTGTAAGTCATTCTTGGCAGGTGGGAGAGAAGATAATTTTTATATTGAATTTTCTTGTAAGCATGTGTGTTATTTCTGCAGGCAGAAGAGTTGGTCAAAAAGAAGTTTCCTGAGCGCATCATTCATTTCAACAAGCTGCTGGAAGAGTCTCCATTCCTGTGTGAGAACCTTGACACAGTCCACTCTGATCTCAAGATTCCTGTACCTGAGCCTTTTATTTTGAATAAGTAAGTTGTTGTTGAGCTGTTTTACTCTCGAGGAGCTTCACCCACTTGTCTCTTGATTCTCATACACTTTGATTAGATCATATTAATATTTTTTTTGTGTGTGCATGCTTGGTCATATCAGGGTGGCCCAGTGGGCATTTATTTTAATGTACGTGTTAATGCATTTTTGATGACTAGGAAGTTTCAGTGTGTGAAATATTTCATAAGAATTATAATAATGGGGTAGTATTGTCCCATTTTTCCCCTTCATGATGTGAAGAGTTCATTCACCACATCTTGACTACACAGCTTCACAGAACTAGCTTCACCATGCTCCATCAAGTCATGCACAGTAGTACCTCACTACTTTATATTACACTATCCACTCTAAGGACCTCTGATTTACAGTTCTGCCAGTTCTAACAATTGAATTTAAGATTGGTACCTGGTGCCTTATTTGCCGAATCATTGGCTGTTAAATCCAGAATACGATACAGTATTGAGTTTACCAAGTCAGGTCCTCGTTAAACTGGAGGCTACTATTGGGTTCACTGTGACAGCCTTGCCCTTGCTAGGCCAGCAATTACATTTTCCCTTCACAGATTTCACTGCCGCTGTTATGCAGAATCCACTCAGTCACAACCAGTCAGAGGCAGCCACAGTCAAGTCACAGTCAGTCAGACATTCACAGTTAGTTGCAACTAACTGTGAATGTCATAGGCATTTACATTCACAACAACTTAGGCATTTACAGTCACAAGTCACAGTCAGTCAGGCACCCTTACTCTATCCTCCTTACTCTACCATCTGCCCTGCCATCAGCCTTACTCATTCTGGTGCCTGCATGCCTGAATGCCATTTGCCTACCCTGCCACTCACCCACTCTGCCGCATGCCTACTCGCAGGGTATAGGTTCCTGGTAAACTGGTGAAAGTCCCAATTGGTTCTGTTCTGGGTTTAGAGTTTGGACTTGGCTGGGCCTCATTTCGATATCTGGGTTGGCATCGCATTCCCTGCCATCCGGCTGCAGCACCGCCTTCTGTTGGAGTTGAGTTGGATCTGGGTGACTTGGCGGTTGCTCGTGCAGTTGTGCGGGAGCCTCAATTTTGCCATCCTAGTGTATTCCCAGGGCAGGGTTGGGTGCCAGAGGCTGTTCTGGATTCTCCTGGGCAGCCCCTTTTGGCGCTGTCACAACTGTTGGGCGGACTCAGTCAATCGACCCTTCGTTGATTGGTGCATTCCCAGTTTTCTCTGGGCTTTTCTGGGTTCAGTTTGCTGGTGCCATTCTCTGCCCTCATTTGACGTGTTCATGGACATCTTGGCTCTTGGTTGGGGCTTTGTGACCAATGCTCACCAGGCCAGCCAGGGTTGTTATTCTCTATCCCTCCTTCATTGGGCACACAGTTTGGTGTGAGAGTTTGCAGCCATGTGAAATGTGCAGCAGTGTGTTTGTATTCCTGTGGGCTGTGGGATCCTGCTCCATTTGGACTGTTTCCCCCGCAGTTCATTGTCTCAACCAGTTGGGGGGTTTGGTTCTCTGCTGTTCATGTCCAGTTTGTGTCCAACGGCCTCTCAGATGGTCTGTTCTGATTCTCTCCATTTCCACGAAGTTGACTGTTGATGCAGTCTCCTTCCTGTGGCTTTGTGGAAGGTTAGGTTGGCTGGATGTGGACCTCTTCACATCAGCATGGTCTCAGTGCCTTCCTTTGTATGCAGTGCCAATCCCTGAATTTGAGGCCCTCGTGGTAGGTGACTTTCTATTGGCCGGGTATGGTGGGGGGTTCCTTCTCCTCTTCTCCTGGTCTGGCTGTTGCTCTGGGTTCTGGTGCAGTTGGAGTCCTACTGGGGGAGAGTGATCTCTGGCTCCTTGGTGGCCAGCTCAGCCTTGGTTTCAGGTGCTGCTCTCTCGGTGTTTGAACACGGTGGCTTTTCTGCAGCTCCCCTTCTCTCTTTTGGGGTTGGCATGGTGATGTTCTTCGTTGGATCTACCTTCTCCGCAGTACATGTCTGGACTTCTTTATGCATCTTCATTGCCATCTATATTGTGATCATGTTGCTTCATTGATGGTGTCCCACCTGCGGTCCTATGTTAGGCAGCAATGTGAGGTTTCATGGCGTTTATTTTATCACTTCCTTTCTCTTAGTGTTTTTTGGCGTCTGAATGGTTGGTCCTTTTGTTTCTGTTTTGGCTTCTTTTTCAGCATCTTATTCTGAATACTGTCATGTTGTATCGTGCGGTGCTGGAGGAGCTGCTGCAGCATACATTTGGGGTTGATGCTACTTTGGGTCTGTTGTTTCACCTCCAGCTTGCTCATGTGCAGTCTGAGCCTTCTTGGTCTCTTGGTTGGAAAGAGCCTCCAAGTTCTTTCCTTCCTTCCTTCTGCTCTGTGTACAGGTATACAGTGTTCCCTTCAGTGTGGGATTATTTCTTGAAAGCTTTGTTTTTAGTTTCTCTTGCTTCTGGATGCCAGTTTGGTGAGATTCATGCTCTACTCGATCACCAGGTCTTTTGTTTATTTGGTCCTGGTAGGCGGTTTGTCTGTCTGCAGCTGGCTCTTTCTTTTCTAGCAAAGATCGAGTTGGTTGGCTTCCGAAGGTGTTCGTTGCCCGGTGCCTGCAGTACACCGTCGTGCACGTGATGATGATAAATTTCCTGCTCTTGGCTGTCTTTGAATTTCACACACACACACACACACACACACACGCACACGCACACGCACACGCGCGCACGCGCGCACACGCACACGCACGCACGCGGATGAGGATGAAAAGGTGACACCCCTAGGGTCAACACTTGCAGCAGAGGAGCTCCAGCATATTTCAACAATCCTAAGTATTGTAGTACAGGTTGATGGTAGTGAGTGGTGTCCCAGAGAACATAAAGGTATAGTGCTCTTGAAAAATAGGTGAGATAACAGGAAAGTGCTAAGGGAAGTGAAAAATCGGATGAGAAAAAGTTGCCCTAGTGTTTACAGTGCAGAGAAGAACATTCAAGATGGCCACTGGCAAGGGGAAAAACAAAACAGAGCTTGATTTTGAGGGATTCAATGAAGAAAGCATTGATATTAGTAGTCTACATAACAAGTTGGTAAATTTAGATACTATAGTGAACTCTCATGTAGAAATAATTAGTAAATTGAAAGAAAGTAATGACCATTTGAATAGCAAAGTTTTATGTCTTGAGGGTTTAGTGAAAGACTTGCGCAAGGATAAGAATCAATTGGAAACAAATTGCAAAGCCATGGAAGAAGAAAATAAACTCTTAAAAATAGCTTTGGAAGAAGTTAAAGTAAATTTAAACATAAATGACTACAATAGGTTAGGCAAGGAAATTCAACAGGAGAAACAGCTTTTGTCAGCACAGATGGAGGAAGTTACACAGGGAATAGAACAGTGCAAGAAAGATATGCAACTCACTTATGCACAAGTGGCCAAGGAGAAGGAAAAAATAGAAGAAGCAGTAAAGGAAGTCAAACACTGCAGCAACCAAGATAAAACAAACATTAGGCTAGAAGTGAGGAAAGAATTGGCATCTAACCCGAAGTTGGTGCAAAACACAGTTGATCGGAGTAAGTCCCTGATCATTTTTGGCTGCAAAGAAAAGGCGATAACATCTAGGTCAGAAAGAGCTGTAGAAGAAGCTAAAGTAGTAGATAAAATTGTTGGCCTCGTGGAAGGTCTTACAAACAGAGAGAATGTGTGCGACTACAGGAGAATAGGCAGGTACGTAAAAGGGAAAGATCGACCTTTGAGGATCACCCTAAACGGTGCCAAACAGATGGAAGAAGTACTAAGGAATGCTAGAAAATTGCAAAGGGATGAGGATGGGAAAGGGTGGTCGTTAAGACGAGATCTTTCAAAAGAAGATAGAGAGAAGCTGAAACTGAACCTCGCCGAGGCAAAACATTTAAATGAGAGCAGGAATGAAGAAGAAATAAATTCTTTTTTCTACAAAGTGATAGGGGTAGGCAAACCAGTAAAGTGGTACATAAAGGCAAACCAACAAAATCAATAGAGAGAGGGGGAGTGAAGAATAAGGAGAGGGGGAACAAGTTCCTGAAGATTGCATACACCAACATAGATGGAGTGAGATCGAAGATACTGGAGTTAAGTGATGTAATACAGCTGCAGACACCAGACATTGTTGCACTCACGGAGACAAAACTTGAAGATGTAATTTTAAATGAGGTCATATTCCCAAGGGGCTACTCAATTTGGAGACGGGACAGAAAAATTAGGAAAGGCGGTGGCGTTGCTGTGCTGGTAAAAGAACACCTAAAGGTGAAGGAAATAATGACTGCCAATCCACAAGAAGTTGACATAATAGCACTAGAGATCTGCTATGAGGATGATAAACTAATGATGATAAATGCATATAGTCCACCGCCAAGCAGCACATGGTCAAAGGAGGAGCTAGATAGTAAACGTGAAGGTCTTATAACAATAATGAGAGAGATTATAGCGAGAGCGGATAACGATAGATCACGACTGTTGATAGTCGGTGACTTCAACTTGAAATCCATAGACTGGGAAGCATATGAAGCTAAAACAGAAGATTTTTGGACCTGTAAATTTGTAGACCTCATCCTGGAAACATTCTTGTATCAACATGTTAAACAAGCTACGAGGATGAGGGAAGGGGACGTTCCCTCCATGCTAGATTTGATATTTACCAGGAAGGAGGAAGAGATATTTGACATTCAGTACCTTCCTCCCTTGGGTAAAAGTGACCATGTCTTTTTGGGAATAAAGTATGCAATGCGTTATAAGCTGGAAGAAAATAAGGAGGTTGAAGCAGTTGAAAAACCAGACTTCAGGAGAGGACATTATGGTGACCTTAGAAATTTTTTTAGTGAGTATAATTGGACAGACTTGATGCTAGGCAAGGAAGTGAATGAGATGTATGGCAAGTTTTGTGAAATATATGATAAAGGCACAAAAAAATTTATACCAAAACAGAGATGCAGAACTAGGAAACAGGATTGGTTCAATAGAAATTGCGAGAGGGCTAGAGACCGAAA